TGTTACAACAGACCCTCAGAAATTTTTTTCCAACAACTGACTATCTGGAACTTTTTTCTTGCAGCGGACCCTCCTCTGAAGCTTTTTCTTACAGCAGACCCTCCTCTGTAGCTTTTTTCTTTAGCAGGCCCTTCTCTGGAGTTTATTTTTTCTTGCAGACCATATCTTATTGCTTTCCCTGTAGTTTGTCTATTTACCTGCAAAATTTTCTGAAGTATTACTTGTAGAAGTTTTTCACCTACCTCTAGATGCTATAGAAACTGCAGTCAAAGACAACTGCAATTAACTAAAATATTGTCAAATACTCTTGGGATTGATTACCAAGTATGAGATCAAAACTTTAAGTTCTACCTTACAAAGAATTTTCCTTGCCCATTGTTTGATATTTTCAAATCCATGTTAAATATGGTTTTCAACCATGTTTCAACTTGAGGGGGAGTGTTAAGAAATAATATTAGGAAATATTTTATTTTGGTTAGAAATTATGAGGATTAGATTTATTTTTTTGGATTGGATTTATTTCCTTTCTTATTTTAAATTTATTTTCATGGATTGGATTTATTTTATTTTCTTTTTTAGGTTTTCCTATTTTATGTTGATTTCTTTATCTCCAAGTAATTATTATGAATGAATTAATTGGAGATATAGGTTTTATATATTTTCTTTCATGTTATTTTCTTTTTTTTGTCTTTTCTATTCTAGAATTCATGAAAGGGTATCTATACCCCCTTTTCATATCAGTAATAAAGTTTTGTTGGTTTATGAAAATTAACATTTTTCAAAAATTATTTGTTTAAGGTCCATTAGTTATTATGAATAAACTCAAGCTGAGCTAAAGCCAAGCTCATACAAGCTTCTGGTAAACAAGTTCAATCTATATTGCGGTTACAGAGCTTAGGTTGAGCTCAAGTTAAACCTGAACAAGCTTTTTATAAATACGCTTATTCTTAAACAACCTTATGGTTGGCTTTGTTTGAATTCCATCATAGCTCTATGTATGGAGAATCAGATGTCTTTACTTGTATGGTTACAAGGACATCATGTTGTTGTGGTAGGAAATGATGGATGGTGCCCATAACTTTCTACTTGAATTAAAAAAAAAATGGAGATGGAATGTGAATGTATTGCTCGTTTCCATTAGATCAGCTAACAATATGCATATTTATACGTGAACTATACTGTGACATCCGTTCTTTTTATAACACATGATGGTCTATAGCCTCTTGCCATTTTAATTTTGTCATGGAAGCATTTTATTGTGTTGACTGGCCAGACCCAATGTAAACAATTTTCTTAAACCTATAAAATTTGGGCTTCAAAATTCCCTAACATTTTTGTCGTGAGTTTCCAGGCTATTATTGCATTTTTTTATTAATCCTTGAAACTTTGAAGACTTTATTCAAGGTTAGGCTCCTCACGAAAAGATGTTTGTCTATCACTAATTTTCTGAATGTTTCTCTACCATTGTAAGCTTTTAGTGATAAGTGTGTGGTCATCCCCTAGTTCCATCTTTTATTTCATCAATACAACAACAACAACAACAAAGCCTTAATCCCACTACGTGGGGTCGGCTACATGAATCATTTTTCTCCATTGCGTCCTATTTAGTGTCATATTTTCATTTAGTTTTAGTAAATTAAGATCATTTTTAATACAATAAGCCCAAGTCTTCCTA